CTTCTTCTTCTTCTTCTTCTTCTTCTTCTTCTTCTTCTTCTTCTTCTTCTTCTTCTTCCTCCTCCTCCTCCTCCTCCTCCTCCTCCGAAGGGCTGCGGGATGCGGGTTTCTCTCTTCGCGGCTCCCCGCAGAAACCGAACGAGAATTTTTGCTCTTGACTCGCAGCCCGAAGTGTAGCCGGTGGTTGAGGGCTGAACAGGCTCCTCGGGATCGAGGCCGCCCGAATTGCGGGGCGGTCAGAACGGATCCCGTTTGGCTCCGCACGGCCCGGGGCGGTCGAGGCCGCCCTGGCGAGTCGGGTCGCGGGGCTCCTTTTCCGCCTCCGCCTCCGCCTCCCGGGACGGCCGCCCTTGCTCCCTTCCCTTCTCTGGCTGAGGAGGGCGGAGGGAGGCCGACGCTTCCCCGGGGACCCTCATCAAAGAGGGCCCGCTTCCTCGGGGCGCTCTTCGGGCGGGCTCCCGCCAAGAGGAGGCGAGGAAAAGCCTCCGGGCCGCTTCTGCCCTTCGCGGCTCCTGCGGGCCCCGTTCCGGCCGGCGCCGATCCCCTCGGGCGAGGAGAGCCCCACTCGGTTCCTTCCTTCCTTCCTTCCTTCCTTCAGCACCACGGACAGAGGCCAGGCGGCCCGAGCGCAGCGCCGGCGGTCGCGGCCCTTCCCGAGGCGCTCCAGGGGCGGCGGCCGGCGGGAGCTTCCGCGGGACCCGGCCCGGCTAAGGCGCCGCCTCTGCTAAGCCGTGGAGCGCGGGGGCTCCTGCAGCCAGCCCGGCCTCCGCACAGGCCGCCTGGGCCGGGCCCAGGGCAGCCCGCAGGGGGGTCGCGGGCGGGGACGGGGGCCCTTCCCCGCCTGGGCTCCCGGGCGGCCACCGGGCGCTGCGCTCGGGGCGGGCGGGCGGGGCTGCGGGGCTTGGCTGGGGCGCAGCTGGCCTTGGGGGCCGCTGCCTGGGCCGCTCCAAGGGGCCCCTCCGAAGCCTCGGCCTCCGGGGGCGCCGCGCGGGGGCCGCTGAGGAGGCTTCCCGAGGGAGGCGGGCGCTCCGGCCCCAGGAGTCGCCAGCTGAGCCCCCCTCCCTCCCCCGCCGCCGCCCCGGGCCCTCAGTCCGAGAGCGGCCGCTTCTGCGGCTGGCTGACCGGGGCTCAGGCCGGTCGAGTCCGGCGCAGCGGCGGCGGCGGCGCGGATTGTTTACGGCGGCTCTTATTTCGAGCTTTTATTGTGGCTTTTCTTTTCCTATTATTTAGCAGCGTCGTTGACCGCCAGAACTGGCAACAAAGCGCTTCTCTTTTATCTTGATCCGCGCGCAGTAAAATATACTTTCCAATTAGTCAAATTTGCAGATTTGCCCCGCTTGGACTCGCTTATAATTTATAAGAGAAAGCTGCTATTTCTTTCTCTAAAGACCAAGGTGACTGTTCTTCATTTTCTCTAACCTTTTTTACACTTGATGTTCACCAGGCTCATAACGTTAATTGGCTTCATGTACGGATCACCAGTTTAATGAAGGAATCAATCCGAGGTTTTATTCTTTATGGCCCTCTGCCTGAACGGCGCGGGCTTTAATGACGAATGGAACCAGTCCCCAAATTAAAGGTGCCAACGGCGGCCTTGGAGGGCTCCAGGGCAGCAGTGGCAAGGAAGGGGAAGAAGTGGGACCACAGCAGCCCGCTCCCAACACAGCCCGGCCAGGGAGGCGGTGGCGGCCGGTCCTGGGTGCCCTGGAGGGCAGTTGGAGACAGGCAGAGGGGCTGTGCTGCACTTCCTCCCATCTGCCTCCCTCCCTCCCTCCCTCCCGTTGCACGGCCCTTCCCCGCCCCGGAAAGGGGGGGAAGAAGAATGAGGAGGAGGAGGAGGAGGAGGAGGAGGAGGAGGAGGAGGAGAAGAAGAGGAAGAAGAGAAAGAGGAAGAAGGAGAAGGAGAAGACGAAGAAGAAGAAGACGAAGAAGAAGAAGAAGAAGAAGAAGAAGAAGAAGAAGAAGAAGAAGAGCCATTAACTTCACTAAGGTATTGCCATAGAATGGAACCAGAGGAAGAAAAATGGTCCCTGCTCTTAATTAGATCTTGGCTCCTTCTAACTCTCAGAGCAAGAGCGGCCTTGACTGTGGCCTGCCTTGTAGGCTCTCCTGGGAGGAGAGTGACCAAACAATTTTCCCAGCTGCAAAAAAAACCATGTTTATTTAAAATGTCCCTGGCAATAATTATTGGTGAGGCATATGAATAGAGGACAGAAAATATATGATAACATTGTATGTGTGTCAATGCAAAATGCTGTTGAAAATGTAAATGCGATTTGTACTGGTGGAAAACAGTAAAAATTGTTTGTGTAAAACGTGCCTGGCAATTACTGTCTGGCACTCTCCATCTCTTAGGAAGAAAGGCAGCAGGCAGGCAAAATGTTTGCTCCCTTATGTGTTAGACCTTTTCACCCCTCCAGGTAGCATTTTTTTGGATATTGTTACATCTGTTTCTTTAGATATAAAACTTTGGGAAGATATAGGGATGCACATAAGTCCTTACTCAGCAGAAGAAATCTAAGCCACAATGATAGCAAGGGAGCTTTAGTAGAGGAAGATTAATTTATTGTTGTAAACACCCGCACACCCCCATTATTTTCTTCAAACAACCCAGAGCAAGACAGATATATTGAAAAAGGCGTGGAGGAGACGGCGTCATCGTAGCTGGACTGGAAGACCCTCCTCAACTACAGATTCCCCTCTGGGCCAATTATTCCCTCCCAACAAGCCCACCCCGCCTGACCGTTATTGCTGGGGGAGCCGTGAATTGGGCAAGAAAGAAGAAAAACGCAAGGCTGCCATCCTATTCACCTTCACTTGAGAGTGAGTCTTCTCACATGCAGAGAGACCTCTCCTGAGTGAACACGCTGTTGCACATTTACTGTGGGGGCAAAACCTAGTAAATGGGCAGCATTCTCTGCCAGAACAGAGGTGGGGGTCCTCGGCCGCCAGGGCTGCTGTCCTCCCAAAGACCCCGGCAAGAGAATCCACAGGGAAGGCGTCAGGATCCAGGAGGAGAGACTTCCCAACTAGGCCTCCTCCAAATATAGCCAGGCAATGATAATACCTCTGAAGACAGGAGGAGGAATGATTCAAAACATAATTGAAGAGCAATCATAGTGACCACATTTAACTTTTATGAAATGTAAACAAAATGCCATTTAACTGTTG